GGACACCAACCTGTGCGCCATCCACGCCAAGCGCGTCACCATCATGCCCAAGGACATCCAGCTGGCCCGCCGCATCCGCGGGGAGCGGGCTTAAGAAGTCGGGCTCTCGCCCGCCTCGAGGTTCCATCGCATCCAAAGGCTCTTTTCAGAGCCACCCACGGCGGCACTCGGAAGGAGCTGCAGCGCTCTTCCTCCGCTCTCCAGGCGGTGGTCTCGTCCTCCGGGGCCAAGGGGTGGAGGGAAGGAAGGGAAAGGTCGCACAGCGGCCGGAGAGCCCAGCCAGCCTTTCCGGACCCCCGGTTCATTTCTTGTGCGGCGCGCACCGCCCTAGGATGGTCGCACCCTAATGCTCTCCTCTGTTCGCCTCCCTGGAACCCTCTCAGCAACCGGCAGCCTCTGGCCATGGTGTCGCCCAGGGCGGAAGGAGGGGCCCTAGTGACCTCATCCCGCGGTTGAGTCACTAGGGGACGCTCGGGATTCGCGGTCCACAGGGCCGGGTTGGGCTGGGCTACCCTGGCCCTTGCCTGAGACCTCTCTGCTCCACCCGGCCCGCCGGAAATGTCCTCCCTGTCCTCTCTGGGAAGTCGCTCCTAATCTCTTTCCAGACTTTTGCTGGCTGGAGTTGGGGATACTTATGATAAAGCTACTTGTAAACCAAAACCGGATTGGCAATTTATATGACCTAGCTCAAGTCATTTGTGAGGCTTAACTGAAAGAGTCCCTGGCCATGTCCACTAAACCATCTTCCTTCTGAAAGCTGACATGTATCTAAATTCTCTGGACTTGGTAATTCCGTTACTTGTTTTCTTCAGAAATATCTGATGACCCAATTTCAGGTTTTTAAGAGATTTACTTAGTTCTAAGTGTGGAAGAGTAGCCGGAAACTCAAGATTTTGTGAGATAAAATAGGCAGAACAGGGTGCCCAGGTAGGCTGGATTATTTCCCTGCCTTAGGAAAGGCTCTGTCAGTCTTAGGGATTCCTGGACATTTGAGAAGTGGGAATCCACATCGTGGGGTGAGTATGAGGATGGGGCTGGCAGTATCCTCTCTACACAGGCCTCTCGCAGATAGCTGTATAGGTCTTATGTGACACTTTGGTTTGTTTTTTTTTTTTTTGGTATTTAAAAAATTACCTTATGTTTTTAGAATAAGAAAAGTTTCAAGGTCCACTAGTCTTGAATCCATCCACCCAGACATTAGCATGAAATTTCTTTTTAAGGTTTAAAAAGATAACACCTCTTACCCTCCCTGTTATTTGCACCTGGAAGAAGCCAGGCCTTATATTTTTTCTTTTGCCTCAGAACAGTGGACATGTTAAAAGCAATCATCACAGGTACAACAGGGGGGAGAAGAAACATCAGAGAAAAATAATTTAGTAAAACAGCTATTTTGTCTCTGACGTGTCAGAAGGGGAGAGCAGTGTGAGGCCTCACTAGCTTTCTCTGAGATGAATTGGCACACGTGTGTGCTTCAGAATCATGGCAAGTTCTGCCTAGGACTACAGATAGGGACTGTATTCTTGAATTTAAAGAAGTAGTCTTTCAAGGCTGGCTTGGGCACACCTTTGCACCCAGTGTCTCAGGAGTGGCTGATCAGACACTAGGGATGTCAGTGCCAGTCCTCTATGTCCTCTACCTGCCACCATGATGGCACTGCTTTAACTCATTGGTCTGGGCACCTCTCAAACTGGGATGTTTCACTGACTGAATCTCAAAGGAAAACAGTGGCATTGTTGATATGCAGTCAGGAATAGATTAATATTTTGTGTTCCTGTCATTGAAGGGAATCTTTCAAGTCTGCCTAAACAGATGGCAGAGAAAGGGGTTGAGAAACAAGCTTGAAGACTTCACTGCTATGAATTGAGACCTGAGACCCCTTGAGTTCAGAAAAAGCTTCCAAAGAGAAAAGTCCTGGATCCTGAGTTTCCTCATTGTAAAACAGGATAATAGTTGCACCCACAGAATTGCAGTGAGGATAAAAAGAATGATTACATAGATGCGTAGAACAGCTCCACATGTTTCAATAAATAGGTACTGATGGCATAATCAACATTGATATTAATATTGGTGACATCAATATTAATTGATACAAGTCTAAATTACCATCATGTCATGAAAAAAAGGAATGACATAAAAACAATTGGTGTTTCCAGGTATGGTATTAGACGCCTGTCATACCAGCAACTTGGGAGGCTGAAGCAGGAGGATCACAAGTTTGAGGCCAGCCTCAACAATTTAGTGAGGCTCTGAGTCACTTAAGAAGACCCTGTCAATAAATAAAAATGGCTGGGGATGTGGCGCTAGTGGTTAAGCATCCTTGGGTTCAATTTCTGATACAAAATTATTCTAAAAATGATTTTAAAAATTGGTGAATACTTTTGAACATATGACCAGTCTCTTGTAGACCACATATAAGGAGATATAAGGAAATATTATAAGGAGATCTGGTTTCCCAGGTGGCTTATAACTCATCTTTCACTCACTTTCTCTCATTTGGCTTCACAATAACTCAGAGGAAGCCTTTTTTTAATTTTTATTTTTTCATTCTGCTGACTAGAAGAAGAAACCAACGTGGCAAGGAAGAGAATGTGAATCACAAAGCTAAAAAGATGGCAGAGGTAGAACTTGAACCTGGGTCTTGTGCTTTGCTTTTTAAAAATTTCATTTGACTAACTGCTTCAGAAAATTATATGTGCAAGAATTATAGAGATATTTTATATCTTATAGTAACTGAATTCTGCTGACTGAAAGTTACAGCAAGGTACATTTTATATTACTATATATTGCATATTCATACACACCTAAAATTGGAACAAGTTGTACGAAATGCTTTTATTTTTTCCTGCCACACTTTGATATTTTCAGTCCTATTCTGTTTAATGGGCCAAAAAAATGCTGACTCCCATCTTTTAAATAGATTTTCTCACCTGCTAATGGTCACAATTTGCAACTATAAACCACTGCACTAGAGAAAATTGCCAAGAACAAAGTGAAATCATCACTCAGATTAAAATTGTTTTTTTTTTTTTGAGAGTGAGAGAGAATTTTTAATATTTATTTTTTAGTTTTCGGCAGACACAACATCTTTGTTTGTATGTGGTGCTGAGGATGGAACCCAGGTCGCACGCATGCCAGGCTAGCGCGCTACTGCTTGAGCCACATCCCCAGCCCTAAAATTGTTTTGTTCAGTAACAATTCCAGCATCTCTTCACCCTGGAAGACATATATGTTTATAGAAATAGGAACCAGATCTTTGGCCTCTATGAGGAGAGGACATGTACTAATTGATGGCAAGCTGGTAAGTGCTGAAGAAGGACTGGATTATCTAGAGTTCAGAGGGAAACGTCAACTCTGGAGCCTTTCTATAACTTTGGGGAAGTCTAATGGAGGCAGAAAAACCAGAAAAAGAAAAGAGAACTACGAGAGGTGAGAAGTCCACAAGCCAGGCCAAGATCAGTAATAAGAAATGAATTTTCAGTGGTGGGGACTTGGGGGCCAGCTTATTTAGAGTCTTGATGCTAAACCGGGAAGGGGATAGGTTTTACTCAGAAAGTAGTACAGGAGAAGGGATATAAACAGCAGGTGGGTTATAGAAGAGAAAGCACAAAATCTAATAAAATTAACAGAGAAAGGCAAGTTAAAACAATAATGATATATCACTTTTTACTAAATGGTCCAGGAAATATTAGAAAGTTGAATAATGCCAAGGGATGGCCAAGATGGAGGACTTAGATGCTTGGCATCTTGCTTGTGGAATGTGTGTGGGGACAAGTGCATGGAGTACTGCAAATGTGGCGAACCACTCCACCGTGCTAGGCGTGTGAGTGGCAGACCGCTTACCCCACAGGCGCAGTCCCTGTACTTGCTCCAAGGCCCACTCCTCGATTGGTCGCTGCAGGGACAGTTGGCCAGGACTTGTATTGGTGGCTGCCTGAGTAGATAAACAAGGTAACTGCGCAATAAAATCAAACCTGCTTCCTGCTTGGACTCCAGAGGTCTTGATTAGCAACTCCGCAGCCACACTTTCCTACCCTGTTCTGTGGACCTCCTCACTGGACAAGAGAGCCCACACAAATGTGGACTAGGGAAGTCATTCTGAAAGGCACCCTGGTACTTCTTAAGCCTGGTAAATTTACATTGGAACCAGAAAATCAGCTACTGAGTATTTATCCAAAATAAATTCTCACACAGATTTATCAGAAAACATGAGAACAAGAGACCAGCCACAAAGAGGGAAAGGGAAACCTGATTTATTGCATGTTGAAGTTTGCCTGAACCTGGATGGGGCAAAGGGCAGAAAGGAGTTGTTGGGGCAAAAAGTAGTCAAAGATGACTCCACACTCCCCTGTCTGAGTGCCTGGGAAGAAGCCTGAGAAGGATGGGCAGTCTGGAAGGAGGAGTTGCTAAAGAGTTCAACTCAGGACCCAAGGGGTAGAACCATCAACTAGTAACTGCATAAGAAATAGTCCAAGGACAGGCCTCTGGGGAACAACTTGCACCATTTAGGGATCTGATGGTGACAGGAAGGTAGAGAAGAGTTTTATCCCGAACCAGAGGAAAATTAGACCAGATGATTTCTTACATCCTTTTTATCATTAATATTTTATAGTTGTTAAATGCATATCAAGTTTATTAATAGATTCTCATATCTTTGATTTGTAAACCTTAGACAAATATTTTAGTAAAAGTCAGATCATCAGGGTATATCAGAGAATGCTAAGTTATTTAACCCATATCAACATTAGTTTCTTCCTTTTTAAAATGGGGGTGATATTTACCTTGTGGTGTTTTGAGGATCTGAATCAAGTCTGTTGGGGGATTCTATTGGATTCTTCATAACAACTCTATGCATATTTATTCTAATCCTAAAAATCTAATGCTGCCACCCTGTTCATAGTCTTCACCCAATTGTCTCTTTGTTCTCTAAATTCTTAAGCTCTAGTGACTCTCTCCCTCTCCCAGTGATTATGCAGCATGTAAGAATTAGACTGGGTAAAATAGGCAATAAATATATGCCCTTTGGTTTCTATATCACTTCATGCCTCACCTCAATTTTTTTCACACAGATCTTTTCATTTGATCCTTAAATATTCCTATGAGAAACGCAGGATATCTCAGTAACATTAAAGATAAGAAAATTCAACTTTGGCAAAACAGATTTGTCATGATTTACATAATCCAGACAATAATCTGATTTTTTTGGGGGGGTGGATTATATTCAGGTTAATTATAAGAAAGTCAACAATTTAGAATGTTCAATGGAGATAGCAAAAACCACACCCATTAATCATTCATATATATATCTCTGCATAAATGCCAGTTTAGTTTTCTTTTTTTTTTTGGTTCAAGTAGAGTAATAAATACACTAGCTAGAATGTAGAGAGTGAGAAGTTTCAAGGGAATAAACTAAAAACATAGTGAAAGATGACTTGGAGTTTCTATTTAGTCTGGGTGTCTGGGAGGGTACTGCTGCTAGTCAGAGGAGAGAATCCAGAAAGGGAAAGACTTCAAAATGGAATAGTAAAATTTGATTGATAAGTGGAACATTCAAGTGCCACTATGACCACTGTAAGGAGTTGTAGCTCAGTGGTAGAGCACTGCCTTGCAAGTGTGAGGCACTAGTTCAATCCTAGCACCACATAAAAGCAAAGGCATTGAGTCAATCTACAACTAAAAAAATAAATAAAAGAAAGTAGTCCCACAGAAAGAACTTTATAATCATTTGTGTGTGTATTTTTTGGTGGAAATTCTGAATCCCTCCAGGAAGGGAAAGAGCAGGCACAGGCTGGCTCACAGAGAGCACTCAGGTGGAAATTATTTTGTTAGCAAACCAAATACATTATAAATAGATTTGTTTCTGTTACAGATGATTAAAACATAGCACTAAATTCCTGGCTGTTACAGATGGTTAAGAAAAAGGCATTTATTAAAGTAAAAAGATGCATAATTGCATGTTCTATAATTTGGCAATATTCAGGGGCTTGACACAGCTAATAGGATTCAGTCATGGCCATGTATCAGTTGTCATTAGTGGAACTGATAAGGTGGAAGCTGAGGTCACTATTAAAATTATCTTAAAGGTGTATAAAAAGATGTATAGCGGCTCAGGCACAGTGGTACATGCCCGTAATCCAAGAGATTTGGGGGGTTGAGGAAGGAGGAGTTATCAGCAACTTAATGATATCCTGTCTCAAAATACCACAGAAAAAGGACTGGGAATGTAGCTCAGCATTAAAGTGCCTTTTTAAAAAACTGGATCTTAGAGAAGAAAAAAAATCTATTGATTATAAAATTCAATTCCGTATAATTGAAAGTATAAATCAGTAATAGTAAAACGAGCTCACTATTTTTTCATTCATACATCTTTTGTGTTTTCTCCGAGTGTTTTGGCAAATAAGACTATTTTACTTTAGCTCTCCTATAATGTTTTTTACTACATAAAATTTGTTAGGATCATCCACTTGCTTTTTCATCAAAGAAAGCAAAATTTAACATTAAACAAATTGGGACAACATTCAGACTCATGTTTTAAAGAAAAACTGCTAATGTATATCAAAATCACCTGGAGTGCATAGCTTATTAAAACACAAATTACTCTGCCCCAGGGTTTTTCATTCAATAGGTGTGGGTTTGGGGCCAAGGATTTTTTTTATTTCTAAAGGTTCCCAGTTCATCTGTGTTGGTAAATTAGAGACTACACTTTTTGAACCACTGACTTAAACAATAAACATGATTCTGCTCCCCTCCCCTTTTTTATTCTTTGATTTCTCTTCATAATGCTATTTACTATTTTAGAGCATCTTAATGAGGATTTTACGTATTCATCTGCATTGCCTTTAAAGTAAAAAAAAAAAAAAAAAAAAAATCAGTGATGTTTTAAACCGAAATTCTATAAGTTAGTTTATTGGTGGTGAGATTTTTTTTTTTTTTTTTTAATTCAAGGGCACTCAACCACTGAGCCACAGCCCCAGCCCTATTTTGTATTGTATTTAGACAGAGTCACTGAGTTGCTTAGTGCCTCAATTTTGCTGAGGCTGGCTTTGAACTCAAAATCCTCCTGCCTCAGTCTCTCCAGCCGCTGGGATTACAGGCATGCACCACTATGCCCCTGTGCACCCCTCCCTCCGTTGGTGAGATTCTAAAAGGAAAAGCAAGAACTCTTGATCATAGAAGCCTTTTATTTCTTAGCTGGAAAATGTTATTTTTTGCCACTCCCTCCCCACCCATCTACTGTCTTCTCCAGTAGAATGCCAGGCATTCTGCTTTTTTCAAAGATTGAACACCCCCCAACCCAACCACCATCATGTCCAAGCTTTCCCCAATTTGCCTGCACCAAAAGACTTCTAGAGCATTAGGATTTCTATAGTTATTATTGTCTATATTTCTCATCATAGTGAATATATGCTTCTTGTACTACTAGACTTCTTATGTTATATAAGTATGTATATATTTATGTATTGTGTATTTCTTTTTTCCTGTTCTGTTTAAGTTCCTGAAGGGCAAATCTTGTATCCCTTACTTTGCTGATATCTCCATTGTGAATCACCATGTATTAAACGTAGTTAACCCTCAAGTGTTTGTTGCTAAGAGCAGCTAATATAGTGATTATCTTTTGGGTTTTTACCGAATTCTCTAAATTACATACATAGGCTAATTTTTGCTGTAATATAAGCCCATAATGCAAACACACACACACAACCCAGAACTTTTACATGCAAATGTTAATAGCTGCAATGTTCAATACAAATCAGGACAGTTTAGGACAAACGGAAGTATAGAGAATGGCTTACTGTACTTTGCTCCAGACAATCATTTTTTGGTTTTGCTTTGTCAAAATTAAACTGCACCTTCTATATTGATGGTGAGCATGTTCCTGCAGATGCCCCATTCTAAGCTAAATAAAACAGGTTCTAACAAGCCACATACCTGAGTCACCTGTGATCTAAAGGACCTGACCCCCTCCCTTTTTGTTAAGTGGTGGAAAATGAAGCCCCCAAAAGTCGCTGAAGCTCACAGGCCAGCCTTGGACTAGAATCACAGGGTCGGTCCTACTCCCCACAGCCATCATAGTCAGGGTAGCGCCAAGCCGTGACAAGACTACATAACAACTTCCAGGGTAGTGCTTAGGCCTAAAGCACAGCTCGTTTTTCAAAGAAAAGAGCAAACCACCCACAAATGGAAAGCCACTTGCTATCAAGTCGGGGCCTGGGGCTTGCAGTTTCTCCCCTGGCAACGGTACCTACAGGATCGCCTCCCGGCTTCGTCGCCTGGCACCCAAGTGCACAACTCTCTGTGGAGTACGTGGTTGGCCCTAAGAAGGGCCTTTGGAGGTGGAGCTGGAGCGCGGGCAGCAGGTCACCCTCCGAAGCCGTACAGGGTGCGGCCCTGGCGCTTGAGCGCGTAGACCACGTCCATGGCCGTGACCGTCTTGCGCTTGGCGTGCTCCGTGTAGGTGACGGCGTCGCGGATCACGTTCTCCAGGAACACCTTGAGCACGCCGCGGGTCTCCTCGTAGATGAGCCCGGAGATGCGCTTGACGCCGCCGCGGCGGGCCAGGCGGCGGATGGCGGGCTTGGTGATGCCCTGGATGTTGTCCCGCAGCACCTTGCGGTGGCGCTTGGCGCCGCCCTTGCCCAGGCCCTTGCCGCCCTTTCCTCTCCCAGACATGGCTGCTGCGCTCCGAGGTCTGTCCTTGGGGGGCCGCGGCCTGCGCCGTTATACGAGAGCCGCGGACCAGATTGAAAACCGAAAGCGCGCCGGCGGGAAGATTCTAATCGTCCCGCCCCCGGAGAGCTCGCGCTCTTCTGTTCTCGCGTCCTCCGCCCTCTACAGGACCCTCCACTCCGGGGGTTTATTTGTTGTTTGTTTAAATCGACTTTCGGTGGCTCCCGGGAAAGGTCGGGTCCCAGCACCAAGCTTCCGGATTCCGCAGTCTTTACGCTTCCTTGTTCTGTCTGGATTCTGGAAGGCAATAAGTTGGGTTTAAGTGGAAAGATCTGGTGGGAGAAGACTGGAGGAAGAGCCAATAGGTTTCAGAGCTGGGAAGGGGAAAAAGAGCAGCGCCGGATTCCGTTTTAACCATAGTCCCAAACCCTCTGGCCACACAAAACTGCAGCCAGGACGGTTCCAGAAACTTGGTGGACAGTCTCCAGGGCAGCGGCCTTGGGGATATGTGTGGAGGACGAGGGGAGGGAGAAGGTCGCTGCGATTTTTCAGTCTGTGCACTATTTTGTTGGTGGAGGCACAATATTGCAATCCAACCAGGAATCGGGTCCTAGGAAAACTGGTCTTAGGATACTGCCAAGCCTTCTCTTGGGGGCTGGTGAACCCCAACGCACTGTCGTCCACAGCTCTGCAGAGCATAGGAAAAGTAGAGCAGACTGAGAAGTAGTCTCCACACCCACATCTACTTACAGATCCTCTAAAATCAACCCTTATTTTCAGCCAGTTTAGCATCCAAACTGTCCAGGTTGAGACACCCACCCTCTCACCCCGGGAGCTACCAAAGTTTGCTGAATTCGGTTTTGCAAGGAGACTTGTGCTTTACCAGAAACTGCCCTAAGAAATTGATTGGAGATCTTAGTGCATTACCATGGCCCTCTGTAGGAGAATCCATGAGAAAATGTTTTGGTTTCTGCACCATAAAGATCTTTTTTTCCCAAAAAATGTCTATGATTAACTTTTCTTATTAAAAGTCAGATGCTTTGTTTCCATCTCTTGGTTCTAACTACTTTCTATATTCTGATAAATCTTAAAAGAGTTTTTTTTTTTTTTAAACCAGACATCTAGGCTCCAGACAAACAGATTCAGTCATTTTAAGCCCAAAGCTGAAAATCTCCAAGAATCAGCATGTTTCAATTCAAACCCTCCAAGGTATGATTCTTAGGGGTTGAGGGGACTTATCCTCCTGATAATGGTGGTTCTTTTGTCCACTGAATGGATGTATCACCACATCCTTATGCCTATGTGCCTAATCAACACCCTAGTATTCACAATAGATCCCTTCTCCCTTGACTGCTTCTAGGCAGAGAAACTTGCTCTTTTCTGACCTGTTGGCAACTCCTACAGAACATCATATTATTTTATATCTCTTTTTATCTTTCATACTTCCCTCTTGACTTTGTGTTCCTTCCTGGAAGTGATTTTCGTTTTCTCTTTGTAAACTGACATGTAGTTCAGTATTCAGTATAAGCTCAATAATCATTTAAAGAATAAACAGTTCCTACATTTAATGACTTTTAAATACTAGTAAGTGCCGGGGTCCTGGGAGTCCTGAAGGATGAGTGGCGTCGGCGAAAAGATGAGACAGGAGTCGTTCCGTTTGAGCAATCTTCAGAGAGAGAGCTAGAGCTGCTTTCTCTGGGTCCCCTTTTATTACAATTTTTCTCATCATTATAGATTCACAATACGTCATTAATTATATAATTTAAAACTTTGCCAAGACATGACATTTCCTTAACCATGATTGAGAGCACACCAATCTACATCCTTCCAGGATATGACCCCCAGCCATACAATCATCAAAGTACAG